CCCCCCCCCCCCCCAGTCTGGGGGGAGCTGGAGGGGGCTGTTTCCTCCCACAGCCAAACAGAATATTGCGCCCAGGGCTACCTTACCTCCTCGTAGGTGCTGGAGATGTGGCGCCCACTGGGGATGGGCCAGCGTGGTCCTCCCTGCCCTTCCTCCAGGCCGGACAAGGGATCCTTGCCATGTCACAGGCACGCGCCGGCTCACCCAGTAACTTGGACGAGGTAGAGAAACCCTTCTTTAGAGAAGGAAACGAAGCCAAAGCAGACTTTTGGCAAAACACTTGCTGTGGTGGCTGGTGGGGCATTGTGGATGGAACCGGAGCAAAAGATGAGCAGGGAACTGGCAGTAACGCGTAATCGAGGGGAGATGGAGGAGGATATTGTGAGAGACGAAGGATCGAGGCTGGAGGGAAATTACCCACGGATTTGTCAAGGGCTGCATCTGGCTGAGCTTATTTACATCTCCAGTGATAGGAACTCAGGGCTTGATCATAATGGAGGATGAAAAGGACATGGATCTGCTAATTAATGACAAGCAGCGTATGGGCTTTAGCCATGAAGGCAGATGTGATCCTGCTCATCTGGTATGTGGCCGGTGCGGTTGGGGAAGAGCTCGTGCCGGTCTACGAGGCACGAGGAAACCTTATTTAGCCTGGCGCCTTCAGCTTGGGTCGTGGTGTTCAAGTGTGAGGGACGCTGAGAGGAACCGCAGAGGTGGGGCGAGGACGGGGGAACCACCTGCAAGAGGCTCAGGCGTAGGATGAAGGCAGGAGGGCTACAGAAAGCGTCCTGATAGACCTGTCAATGGAGGTGCAGTCATTGCTGAGGACATGGCCAACCCTTTGGAGGGCGCTGGAGTGGAGGGTGTCCAACTGGGAGTGAGGAGGTGCTCTGACCGTCTCCCAGCAGCAGCACTGGGAAGGAGGAACCCAACGGGTCCTGCAGACCATATCGCCACCCTTTCCCAGCTGAACCCCACGTTGAGATGTTTGAGACCGGTGTCACCTCCAGCCTTTCTCTCTCCTTCACTTCAGCGTTTCCCCTCACGTCCCCAGTGGTGTGGAACTGGGCTTCAGCACCAGAAATTCCTCCTCCTCATCGATACCTCCTTGTTTATATCGATCTATTTATTGGGCTTGCCCAGCTGTCTTGCCCTTAATTGTTGGTGTTCTGCTGCCCCTGGGAGGTTCCTCCCCAGCTGCCCAAGGCGAAGCAGCAGCACAGAACAACAGCCAAAACAGCCAGGAAAAATGAGCTGCCGTGAGAAGCCGGAGGCAGAATCCAACCAACCCCTGGAGACCCCGGCCCTTTGCTTTTATTGAGCTGGGTTTGTTTTTCACGACCTGTAGAAGACAACCAGAACGTAAGAGCTGACCTGAGGGGACACCAGGGCTGAGGAGCTTCTCTCTGCTGGTGGCCAAGTGGTGGATGAGTAGAGAAAACACTCTTTGGGGGGTAGAGTGGTCCTGCCCTTGCCATGTCTTTCCAGCTGCTGGCGTCTCGGGGAGCGCTCACCATGAGGAGGCACTCAGATCATTGTGGTACGTCTTGATAAATCTGTTCTCCTGCATTTTTTTGGGGGGTCCCTTCTGCAACCCTCTTGCATTTTGGCTTCTGGGGTGCCCTGTGGCAGGGTCTAACACCGTCTTTACTGCCCAGAGAGGCTCTGCCTCCTCCCTTGCTCGGCTCCCTGGTGACCACACCTGATGTCTCCTAGTCCTTAGGAACCCCCCGACTCCCCGAGGCTGTTCCTCTTGGGGAACGTGCTGCGCCTGCCCCTTCCCTTGGGGCTTGGACCTTCCTTCTGCAGATGCTCGGGTGTCTCTGCTTGCACTGGCACAGGTTGTCGGGAGAGGTGGTTGATGCCCCATCGCTGAGAACATTCAGGGTTGGGTTGGACGGGGCTCGGAGCAACCTGATCTCATTGAAGATGTCCCTGCCCGGGGCAGCGGGTTGGACTAGATGACCTTCAAAGGTCCCTTCCAACCCCACCCATCCTGTGATTCTGTGGTTTAGTGGTGGGCTTGGCAGTGTTTGGTCAATGGTTGGCCTTGATGATCTTCAAGCTCTTTTCCAACCTCCACGATTGTATGATTTGCTGATCCTGTGAAATCCCTGTGTGGCCTCGGAGGGTCTCCAAGACCCACCAGCATCTCAGGGTTATGTGGAGGTGACACAGTCGAAGTGGGAGGGCGCAGACAGTGGGGAGAGAGGGGAAGGAAAGCTGGCGGGCGGTTCCCAGCCCGGGAGCCTCGGCAGCAGGCTCAGGTGGACGCTGGGTTTGGGTTGGGCTTGGTGGCAGCGGGACTCCGGAGCCCCCTGGTTTGGGGCTCAGGGATGGAGAAGGTCCTCAGCCGGCAGGATGGGCTCCAACACATCCCTCCGGCTCCGTCCTCCCCAGCCCAGCCTGGCAAGGCCGGGACTGGGCTGCTGCACCCAGGAAAGGCCGGGAGATGCTGGGCCTGATCCGTGGATGGTGGATGTGGGAAAGGTGGGCGCTGGGGCACCCTCCCTGCAGAGGGGACGAGGACCCTGCTGCCACCTCCCGCTCCGCACCTGCCTGGGCTGGGAAATGTGGCTTGTGGGCAGCTCCTGGGCACTTCATGCCCGGCCTCAAGGACATAAACGCACTGATGGGGTTTTTTTCAGCTTCTGAGCTTCTGGACTTGGCTGCCGGGGGGATGCTTTGAGCAGAGAGCACTGGGGCTCTACGTTTCTGTATGGACCTTCGTTAAGGCATCACTAATGACATGGGGTTGTTCCTTTCGGCCCCGCCACCGGGGAGGTTCCACACTCCCCAGAATTCGGCACCTCGAGGAGGTCCCCACCAGAAAAAGCTGGTGGGCTGCTAATTCTGCATCAGGTCACGGTAGCCCGGGGCGTGGGGCCGGGGGAGCACACAGCCCAAACAGGGACATTCTCAAGAGCTTCCACGTGGGACCCTGTGGGCAAAGGGGGGGGTAGGACGTGGGCTGGCAGCAGCCCGTGGTCCTAAAATTTAGCTGTGGCGTGTTAGCCCCGTGGTGCTGGTGTCCCCCATTTGCCTGGCAGCCCCTCTCGCCGCTCCTCCCCGAGCATCCCCAGCCTCCAGCCGACTTCGCCCAGATGTCAGCTCCACTATTATGTCCCCGGAAAGGGGCCCGGGGCGGCCAAGACCTCCTCCACCCCCATGCTCCATTAGCTCTGTACTGTGGGTCTATTGTGCCGGGGGACGCGTGAGGGCTGTGTCAGTGAGCGACTGTCCTGCCCCAACGAGTTTCCGATGACTCGGATGAGCTTGAGACCCGCTGGCCCCGGAGCAGCCGAGGACAAAGCATGTGCCGATGTGCTGGGGTTCACTCCCGGGGTCCCGGCCAGTGCCCGACTTGTCCGCTCCCATCCGCCAACGCTCTAATCCGAGTGTCTTCCCATCCATCTCCTTCCCTCACCTCCATCTCCGTCCGTCTGTCTGTCCCTCACGCCTCTCTCTGTCTCTCTCTCTGCCTCTCCTACCCCTCTGCTCTGCCAGGGAGGGACAGAAGCGGGGGGGCTGCTCTCCCAGGAGGTGTGGGAGCAGCCGCAGGGGCACAGGGGACCGGGTCCATGTCCCACTCGGGTGAGTCAGGTGCAGTTTTTGGGGGGGGTCCCACGGGGCCTCAGCCTGGACTCGCTCCTTACTTTGGCCAGAGGCAGGTTGGGGGTGTGGGGGGGATGTCCCCAGCTGGGTTCGGGCACAGAAGCGGGTTTGTGCCCAGAGATCCAGGGCCATCAGCAGCCACCCTGTCCCCCAGCGTGTTCCCCTGCACTGCAGCAAGGCCAGGGGCCCTCCACCCTGCCCCATGGCTTGGCCTGGCCAGGGAAGGGTTTGCAGGGGGAGGGACACAAATGTGGGTTCCAGGACCATCACAGAGGAGAATCTAGCACCTCCCGTAGCGCAGCAGCCCCGGGAGAGCCAGCTCAGGGCAGGGCTGGGGCGGCTCAGCCCCAGGATCTGGGCTCCCATCCCTCTGTTCCCATTCCCGAGATCCCATCCCTGAGCTCCCATTCCTGGGATCCCATTCTCAGGATCTCATCCCTGGGCTCCCATTCCCGAGATCCCATTGCTGGGCTCCCATTCCCTGGCTCCCATCCCCAGGCTCCCACCCCTGGGCTCCCATCCCTGAGCTCCCATTCCCGAGATCCCATCC